TCCAAACAAGGGAGACAGAAAGTTAACGCTGCGAAGACCGAAGCGCGCGAGCCTGGACACGCTCCCGCGGCCCGGCGCCGCGCGCGGGAGATCGTGACCGCTGCGCGCGTGGCGATTAACGGCGCTCCCCGCCGGCTGCTTCTCCAGTGGCGCCTCCCGCCTCTCCAGAGTCCAGCACGGAGCTACGCGGATCGAAACCCGGTGCACATTCGCCGTGACTGCCGTTGCCGTCGCGCGGGTTATCCACGGCAGCCCCCTCACCCAGGCGGGCGCTTTTATTTACACTTAATCCGCGCACGGGAACCAAGTAGTTACCACTTCCTCCATTTGCAGAGGAGGGGACAGGCGATCAGAGAGGCTCAGTGACTTGCCCAAGCTCACACAGCCGGGAGGCGGCTGCCCGGACTCCAGCTCTTTCTGTCCACACACTCCTGGCTCTGCTTCTTGTCAACAGCTCCTACATAGGTGATTCTCAAACTTAGCTATCTGCCCAAAAGAACAAATGACACTCTATAAAAGAAGACACCTGCGCCCGAATGTTGGTAGCTGCACAGTTCACAATTGCAAAGCCGTGGAAACCACCCGAGTGCCCGTATCAATACATGAGTGGGTTAATAAAATGTGGTGTATGTACACCATGGAGTTCTGTTCTGCTGTAAGAAGCAATGGTGATCTAGCAGCTCTTGTATTTTCCTGGCTGGAGCTGGAGCCCATTCTACTAAGCAATACTAAGGATACTAAGTGTCCCAATAACGGAAAAATAAGCACCACATGGGCTCACCAGCAAATTGGTTTCACAGATCACCTAAGTGGACAGACAGGAATAACATTTATGGGGCATTGGGCCAGTGGGGGGGAGGGGGATGGGCATAAACATGCATAATGAGTGCGGTGGGCACCATCCGGGGGAAGGACACGCTTGAAGCTCTGACTGTGGGGGTGTGGTGGGAAGGCGGGAAGGTGACACACGTAACCTAAACATTTCTACCCCCATAATATGCTGAAATTAAAAAAAAATTTGCATGATAAACTAAAAAAAAAACAAAAAAACTTAGCTGTACCTTAGCATCACCAGGAGGATTTTTCAAAATCCTGATGCCTAAGCCACACCCTAGACCAAACGGCTCAGCGTCCCTGGGACCCAGGCATCCGTATACTTTATTTATTTGTTTGTTTATTTATTTATTTGAGACAGAGTCTCGCTCTGTTGCAGCTCAACACAACAAGCTAGAGTGGGAGTGCCAGTGGACGTCCAGCGCTAAGAGCTCACAGCACCTCAGACTCCTGGAAGAGCTCAAGCCACCTCACTGCCTCAGACATACACATACACGGGACCACACAGGCATTGGATAACACAAAACACAATAACTCCGCGTCATTTTTTCTCTAATTAGTTGGACAATTAATTATTTTTTACAATTTAAAATTTTTTTTTCTATTTTTTTTTAATTTTTTTTTAATAAACAATATAATTTTTTGTTATTATTTT